TCCAAGCTGCGCGTTTACTATGACAGATGAAGTTCAGATATACATTATTAAAACGGAAGTAATGCCTGTCATTTACGAGGCTGAATTGTGCTGCATTCAATACCATTTTGAAAACCAATTAGTTTTATGATTGAGAAACTTGATTACCCTGAACCGATGACCCCAAACTTCTTCGAAATTTGATCAACGATGCCTTTTCAGTATAGCATCAGTGGTTTGGTTGCAGCAAGTCTGAAACAAAACAGTGCAGGCGAGTATCCGTCACTGAACCATGATCAGAAGAGCTGCAAATAAAATGGTTGGGAGTGTAATACCACGTGTTAAATAAAGTATGATTTTCTACCGTAAACTCGTGTTAGTGGAGATTTTGCAAAGGCTGTGACACGGCAGTTTGAAATGAATCAGCCACAGTCCATGGGTACTGTAAGATTTTCGTAGCTCTTTAGGTGAGGTCCAGAGGATTACCTCTGTACGCTGTTCAAAGCCGCATGCTATCCCTTCCCTTCCGGCCTGCTTCGCTAAATTTTGTCTTTCTTTGTGCGTTTGGTAGTGTGGAGCAAGGGTCACAAAGGATGCCGGCTTGCTACCGCTGATAGCGTATTATCCCAAGATGGTGCATAGATGGTTTGATAGTACATCGTCTTATTCTTGATCTTTCCTAGAGTAAGGCCCCAAAACTGTCCTCTCTCTCCACTCTTAACACACTGGCTGTTTCGTTATAGTTGTGGCAGTAAAGCACCAGCATTTAATACTAATGTACCGCTGCCGAGGGCGCTGACAGAGATGATGCTCCTGCTGATGATTTTGATTATGACAACAGGAATGATTGTTACGCTGATAAATGATCAATCTGTATATTAAAGGAGTCAGGCAGTGGCACACGAAAAAAGTTCACCACACAACACAGTCGATTCGACCAACTCGCCGTAGTTTTCTTGCTTTGACGACGGTAGAAGCCCATTTCCACTACGCTTGAGTACTAGTGTTTGGCACATTCCCTCAGTATTTCGTGAGTAAACAATAATTCACCCCCCACAATAGTTTCAATGATGCCACAGACCAACGTGTACAAGTCATTTGTACTTTAGTTCTCCATAAGCAATACAAGACTAGTCACTGTGACCCGTTAGCTTGCATCCGTAGACCGCCTGATGAGACAGAATCGATACTTGCCCTACTAGATCACCGAATCAACAGCTCAAATATATAGAATTTATCGATCATCTACAGCCAAGAGGGTTATCTGAATAGAGATCATGTATTCAATCCATCTACCAATATACTAACTCTGATGGAGCAACGAATGATGATGGCTGAATGGCTGATCACGTATATCCAGCCGGTGTCGAAGGACCTTCCGTACAGGTCAAGTTTGAGGTCTTTCATTTCGGTATGCAGCAATCCAATCATGCCTTGATGTGTTATTCAAAAGAAGTTTTCGATGTTTTGAGCTGCTCAGGTGGGTGTGATTTCTGCGTTCTGACAATCCTTTTTTCTAACCCATTTTTTTTTTTAAAAAAATCTCTCAACCGCATCGTGAGCCTGTGTAAGCGTGCAATTCAACTGCCTCTCGCGCGTTCCACTTTCTTTGAATGAGTATACAGCTCAGACTGTCGATATTCATGTTTCTCTCCCCAAATACCATGGAAATATTGATGGAACTTGCCAATGACAAACTTGTTCGTGTCTAACGTTCGCACCAGCTAAGCATGTTTTAATCATCATTCTGTTCACGTGATTAAGCAGTAGTTAGAAGCTACTCCGAAATTTTTGACCAGTTGATTCTTCTTGTAAACGGCATATGATCACTGTGAATTTTTTTGCGAGTCATTGATTAACCACTGATTTGGCACTACCAGTATTGTAAAACAGACGAATATCATTTTTGTGGAATAGTTTGCGACCTTGGTATGATTCCTGTCCTACCTATTGTAGATCCAGTCGGAAATTATTTTTTTTACAATCAGGTTGTTTCTATTACTGGATCATCGATCCTCGAAAACCTGATAGTTACAAAGGCGTGGGTTTGGAATTTGATGGGATAGTCAGGTGAGCGTCCCCTAACAGAATATTCGCTTGGATGCCTTATACCTGGCTACCACCTGTGGCCTTGAAATGCACACTGCTTCAATAACGAGGACTAAAATATATGACCAGGAAGGTTCACCCTTTCTGGCTCCTCTGGATTGAAGCACACTCTCTAGATGTCTCACGACTTTGAAATTAATCTGGTTTACTGATTTCGGTAAACATCATCAGGCAGTCTGCTTCCGTTTCAATAGATGACGCGAACCACCAAAAAAGAGGGATTAGTTTGTTGGTTCCGCTTGATTCTGAGGACGGCTACAAACTTTATTGGATACTAGGAGCAGCTCATCACAGCTAAAATGACGAAATTGAATTAGCGGTGCAGTTCTCAGACTCATTGGCTTGCTGCTTCTATTGAAGGGACTTAAACATGGAAATGCAAAGTAGGCCAAATAGGAGATTAAGCTACTGTGCTAGTTCTTCGGTTTCCATTAAATCGTTGTAGCTCTGTCATCCACAATTTTCAGTTGATTAATTCCACCTCCGTTTAAGTCAGGGCTCCCAAAGGGGTCACATAAGTCCTCTTGAGAAAAACATTCCAACGTGTAGCGATAATTTCAAACTAAACTCGTTCCACAAAGTGGGGAGGATGACAATTCCCCATACTGATAAAACTAACTGTAAATGTCTGCCATATTTTATATTCCAGAAGCTCCAAACTTTTGGTCTCATATCTGGGTATTATTGAGTAAGCACACAGATGAATTCCATCCATTGCCTGTGCGATGGTCCCAATAACAGGAAATTATTTTTATCTCTTCTGGTTTGGAAGCTAAACCAATGACCTCACATTTTCTTGTTCAAATGATCCTTACCACTGACCAACCATTGAATCTTTCTGACATTTCGCACGCCACATGTGCAAGAAAATAGATCCCGTGTTGTATCCGTTAAGTGATTCCGAAAGTTCTTCCGCAAGACAAAAGTGGGCGAAGTTGAAGTAATGTGAATCAGTTTCATTTGTGCTAGGGCTCACAGGTGGCACGCATCTCACGAATATCTGAAATGATTCGAACTCGCATTTCTTCGGATAAAAATTTGAAAACTCAAAGGTTGGCTGATTGGCAGTGTGGTTAAGTTGAACTTAGATTGAATGCAGCGGCAGTCACCACCCAACTGTTCACTTCGAGTTAGAGGATTTGACATGGAAAGTCCATGTGGCCTGTAGGATATTTTCCATCCTGAGCAGATTACTAACATTTTGTCAGTAGCGAGGCCATCGAGCTACACTCTCGTCTGGCCAAATCGACTAAAAGATGAACAGCATCGCAGTTATTTGATTCTCGTCGTGCCGTGAAGGATGAGCGATGATAAGGATTTACAACGAGAGCAAGACAGCCGCATAAGGCTTGCTAGCCTTCCAGCAGTTTGAAGTTGACTGGTGCGACGGAATCAGACGCCATTTAAAAGACAACCTAAACAGCGCTTACATTGTTCCAAGCACGGCCCCCTTGCCATAACACGGACTTCAGCGCTTGACTTTCCGAGAGCGACAAACTTACACAAAACAGCCGCTTTTTCACGCTCGATTGTTAGGCTTCCCGGAGACAGTAATGAATCAGAATAGAATTCACACCACCTTAGAACACATGTCAGAAAGAATATGATCAAACGACTACGGACGTTTTATGAGGACGGAAACGTATAAATTCGCCACCCCTAATTGCGAAATTCCGAGGTAATGTGACCCTTTGTAACCCCGTAGATTGAAGGGCTTTGGATGAGAAAGAAAATGTGAGAACTGAGGATCGCGGCTACTGCAAGCGGTCGAACACTGAGCGTGCACCGTAAGCAACACTAGCCGGGATTCCTTTTTTGTCAGGCAAGGAACTGAACAAGCAAACTATAGTTTTCGAAACAGGAAATGGTTTTAACCTTGGACGAGTAGATCGTCCTCTCCTCCTAAGTGCCCTTGTTCGGAGTCACCCAAGAGGGTTGATGCGATGTATGAACGTGGTACACTACTAAAAGGTTGCTGAAAACTCTTCGACCGAAACCCTATGAGTCGTGCATTACATCTATTCCATGCACCACGATATCTAGAATATCGCGCCAACTGAAACATGATGCGGTCTGGTGCTTAAAAACACCATAAACGAGAGATTCGGCTGACTTCCAGGTGAGTCTCCCGTCGAAATCAAATAGTAATGCAAATGAGTGTATTTCACTGAGCTGATACAGCTCTTGAAAACGGTTTTTTTCTGTCTGGAAACAAGTGACTAATTGTGTTGCATTATCCCATTACATTACCATTCAAAATCTGAATTAAAAGCTAAATCAAATTGGCATTCCGAGATTTTTTATGAAAAATTCAGCAGCTCGAGGCTTTCTGTGGAAATAATCGCTTTCGGCCAAATTGCGCAGTAAGAAAAGAAAGGTTCCTGATCATCGCATATCTTGAAGTTTTTCACTCTTCTATTGTTATGGACGACTCCTTGAAAGATATTGCTGCTCGATTGTCTACTCAACTGAGTTTCAGCTGAACTTTCCGTGTACGATATCCTTCAAATGAATGCGTACTGCACCAAGACCATCTCGTTGCAGTTGGCACGATATTTGAGAAGCCGCGGTAGATATCCCTAATGTAACATACTACTAATAAGCACGCACAATTTGTTGCCCAGGAAGAAGATCGACGGAGACACGGAGGTTGTACCTATATGAACCCAAGAGAGCTGTCGGAGAGCTTCCAGCAGCCTTGAGTAGCGCATCCCTCAATGACTATTTCATAAGGTTAACATGGACTTAAAGAATTCATCTCTGAATGGTGCGCCGATGAATGTTGAGGATAAATAACGAACTAAGAAGCTTGTGGTTAGAGGGCAACAATGGTTTTTCGATTTCGTCTGTCTGGGTGAGAGCACCGTGATAGTATCTCAGTCGTTGTTCAAATTGCAAGACAGTTAAGACATCTGAAATTGTTTTTATGGTGGATAAATGGAAAATGAAGATTTCGTATTAGGACATACAGTATGAGGAACTTACGTTGCCATAAATCGATTGTGAAAACGCACATAAATGAGAAGCAAAGGGTGCTGACGTAGTAGATTAATTATTTATTTGAAACGTATTGTTTTTAGCTATGAAGTCAGCCATGCAGGTTAGCCCAAGCGAATGCAGGGACGTGAAAATATCGCGTGCTTGTAAAGAGAGGGAGCTGTCTGTTTTGTTCGTTTCAATTGTCCCTTATTTTGCGACAACAGTCGAGCCTTGATCCAACAAGGGATGAGCGGAAACCGGTCAGTCCTAGCGGTGAAGGCACATGGAATCGAACAAAAAGTCTGTCTAAATTAGCAGACGCGGTCTATCTGCATTTCTTGAGTCAATGGCCAACTTGAGGGAGGTAAATTAGAAGTGATCTGAACGAAAAGCAGCGGTCAGCCGATCGCCTGTACAACGGGAAAAACAGGTAAGGACATTTAAAATGGATCAATCAACGGGAAGGCTAGCTTGGTACACCAGAGGCACGAGTCCTCAAATGGAGCATCAAGGCAACAATGAGTTCCGGTAAGAAAGCAACGAAGGACAGCAAGGTTGTAGACGGTCGAATCAGGTAATTTACAGTAAGTCTGGTATACAAGTTTCAGTCAAGAGGATTCACATGACGTGAGCTGACGATGAACGGTTTGAAGATACCTTTAACCTCAAACAATCACGGGAGGAGAACTGACGACGGATAACATAAACCATCATCGTGCAAGCACACATTCAGTGTCAACTAAGATGAGTAGACATGCGAATTTGTTCGGTCAGAAGGTGGGACGAGTTCGGGAGAAAAACGTCGTCAGAAATGTAGTGCGACGAGACAGGTTCTCCGAACAGATGGCGAATGGATCAGGTAAATGACAACGTCTATAGTGCATTTGCGGGCTCCGGCAATGACAGACGGATTGTCCAGATGAAGGCCAGTTACATTTTCGCCTTTGCCTTTGCCCCTCGCGGTGGTGTAATTGGTCGATTTCCTGTGGCCACACCAACATAATACTTCTTTTTATCCGCTGGTCGCAGGATCTGAAAACAAAGTTGATGGTTAAAAAAATATGCTGGTAAGCAGTTAAGGCAATCTGTCTATGAAAAAGCATATTTGTCGACATAGAAGAAAAACCATCACAAGTGAAGTTAGAAAAGTTAACTCCAGAAAAGTCTTTTCGATACAGCTTCAACCGGCCTGGCACTAAAAATATAAAGATTAAGATTGCAGTAGGTTTGACTAGAACATTAAACTTATAAGGGGAGCGCAATTTTCCATTCAAAATATTCCCATAGGAAACAAATTAAAATCCAACCCGAAACTCTTGCCGGAATCGCGAAACTGCTAGTTTATTCCCAAGTTACTGTATTTTGCCATTCACATGCATTATCTTGCCAAACGCGACGGTCCATCCCGATATGTTTGGCTTCTATTCCAAGTTTCCAGAATAGCCTGATTCTGAAATCGTCGGCTGTCAAATTAAATGCATAGTCGCGATGCGCACTCGGCGATGAAGTGAGTAGCTACTATGAATTCACACTACTTCCCTTGACTTGTTTACCGCAATGTCTACTGCGTGTGAACTGGTTGCCGGGTTAATGAGTATCGCTTTCATCAGGTGATGGCCACCATCATCGAGTGTAATACAGAATGCTAGGAGGGCTTGAATGGCACACAACCATGATGGAAGACTCCCTGGTAAAATTGGGGTCATTCAACATCCTTTGTGAACCTCACACAACAGAAACTTCGGCTCGGTTGCTCTGCCGCGGAGTGGCAGAATGATCGCCACCGGGAGTGGTCACGTGTCATACCTTTTAAAGTTTCCAGCGACCAGCAGAGGCATTCACGTGGACCTCGACTAGGGATTCGTGAAAATCCCACAAAACTCAGTTTAACAGTAGCCAGTTTCTTTCCGCCTTGCCTCTCCCCCTGTGAACCCTTCGGTAATGAAAATTGGAAATGCTTCCTTCACCAGACGGTGCATTATTGATTCTGATCCATGGAAGAGTATTCGCCAGTTCAGTTTGGACTCGTCGCAGTCAGGAAAAGTCATGGAAGCACCAAAGATCCAAACTTTAGAGGTGTTTAAGGCATTCGGATAGGAGGAGATAAGGTTAATGACCATCGAGTAGGATTGTTCACACAGCTACTATATACACGCCACCCCTTAGCCTTAGTGAAATTCGGAAATTATAACTGACTCAATTCGCCCCTCGGCACTGTGTACACTGACTTCATTTCTAAAAGCAGGCAACATGAGGTTGACAAATAAGTAATCTGGTCTACGGATAAAAGCTCTTCGTCCTGGAGTTTGAGTGACACACAAGTGAAGTGAAAATCCCGGAATATTCTCACAGCTTGAAGTTGTGAGACTCATATCGCTGAGACTGGATAGTGTGGATCCACGAACCACCAAGATGCACGGTCCCTTGGACTATTTACTGGAAGATAGTCGGTTACTGAGTCTAATGAAAACGGGAAAGCAACCTTTATAAACTCAATTGAGTTCGGGTAGGGAGACGTTTGAACGCCTGTTTACAGAGGATTAGATGACTAGGTCAGCTTGACTGTTTTTAAGGTGTCAGGACGGACACAAGTGTCTTCTGGATCTCGTCGTTGGGTTAGCATCTGTTATTTTGTTACTTCCACTACTAGGTGGATATCGACCTGATGACGAGATCCCACGAAAGTTATATCCGTCAGACCGCTATTCAGGAGCATTCTCTCTTTGTCGAAAAATTTTAGAGTTGATTTGCCTACAGAGTCAAGAGTTTCTTTGGCGTCCATAGAAAACCAAGAACCTTGACCTGTGATGTGTAGGGCTACTGAAGCACATCAAGTAATACGATAAATGAATTCTTGGCTGTTGCTCTCGGGTTTGAGAATCACGCTCGAGGTTGAGTCACAATACTAATAAAGCCACCATCCGCGTTATGATGGGTGTAATGTTTGTGGCTGTGTCTGAGAATTCCCTTTTTGAATAAAGGTACGCGGATCTGAAAAGTTTTTGAATTCAGGCAACCTAGTTCAGACCGGCCATAATCGATCCACAGACTTGGTCAGAAAGTACCGATGGAAGCTCATCTGACCCAGCAGCCTGATGATTGTCTAGACACTGACTCTCCCTATACACTAACTTCCCATTAATATTGCTTGTTGCCTCTTGGGTTCTGTGCCGTGGATTAGATGAAGCGGCTTCCGTTATTGTCCCGTTGAACTCATCCCTTGCGAGCAAAAGCACACGATCCATTTCTAGTAACAATGGGCTTGCTCCTGGCATGTAACAGTAGGACATGTAGTGCACGAAGAATGCATGGTAGTGTTTATTCATGCCGACTAGGTGTATGAAAGATTAATTAACCCACAGTGAACAGACTATTCATCCCAGAGAAGGAAGTGAAGTGCGTCGTGTCGCTCTCTGGTAACCAGTGAGGTACTATCAAAGTCATGCAGTAACACCCCTTACAAAGGGCTGCTTACCAGGGGAACCAAAGAAAAGGTTTTGAGAATATACGTCTGGAAGTATTTGTCGTACACACGACTGAACGTAAGGATTTATTGGCTCTCAATGAATCATGCATAAAATGTCGATGCTGACTGGTGTGGTATCCAGACATGCGTTCGGTGCTAAGCAGATGCCATTCAACCGGATTCCTTCCGAAATTTCACAGCCGCAACAAGTTGAAAGACCGCTCCAGAGAACTGTCTTTCAGCATGAACCTTGCGCTGCGTATCACCTGGAAAAATGGAATTGATTTTGCATATAGCATACGGGCCTAAATGCAGTGACCTTGGTGCCTGTGATATGAACACTGCAGTTCCTAGCAAACTACAGGTGGCGAATTTTGGGCTTTAAACGGGATACACCGGTTTCACGGTCATCACTAGTTCGCTCGTAACAATGGTGACAGCTGACGTTGATGGAGATAATCAAGTATCCGTCGACGTGAAAAAGCACCGTTATACAGTAAATTATCCGGACAACTTGCGTGTCTTCTAAAATTAGTTGCTGGTGCATGCCAGAAGTGCTCCAATGAAAAGGCGAATGTAAAGGAAGTTAAGATGCACGCACCTGGAAAGAGCATAGCAACGTGTCATCCACGGACATCATGGCACCAGCGTTATCAAATTCTCCGCAGTAATTTGGTGCTGAGAAAAGTGTGACTAACTGGCGTTTGGCGAAAAACTCGTACCCATCTTCCACAACCTGAAAGCCAAAATATGATATATGAAGTACATCGCACCTGATGCGCACGACATATAAGATCCAGATCATGTTTATGCAGGAATTTGGCGACTACATCTGGCCCAAAGGTGAAACTGACACCACGATCGTTTTCACCCCAACCAGACACATCTTTGTCTGGATCAGACCATAATAAATCGCACAGCAGGCCCTGTTCTGGCACGTCAGTGGGGCGCATGATGCGCCTAATCTGTTCCATGGTTTGTAGATCTGGAGATAAGCCTGAAAAAAACAGTGCACCTGAGGAGAGCATCAACATACCACCGTGGCAACAGAAGATTTTCTCGTCTATAATCGCAACAATGGGGAGACAATTGAAGCAATCAGTGAAGGTTTTCCATAATTTGATATTGTAACGTCGTTTGCCTGGAATACGCATATTAACAAAACTATGGATAGCAACTTACATTCATCATAGAATCCATAAATACGATTAATCGATGCACATTCGTGATTACCACGCAGGAGAAAGAAATTCTCTGGGTACTTAATTTTGTAGGCCAAGAGGAGACATATTGTTTCGAGTGACTGCTTCCCGCGGTCCACATAATCACCCAAAAACAAATAGTTCGCTTCTGGAGGAAATGCACCATATTCAAAAAGTCGCAACAAGTCGTAATATTGACCATGGATATCGCCACAAATTTTCAGAGGGGCTTCGAGTTCCAAAAGAATTGGCTGGCTTAAGAATATTTCCCGAGACTTTAAGCAAAGACCACGAATTTCCGCTTCGTTCAGTTGCACGTTCTTTCCAGGTCGTATCCGACGAACTGGGAACAGGAATAAAGAAGGGTTCATTCAAAGGGATGTGTCTAAAGCGGTAGTTACAGGACACAAAAAATAACAAAAATAGTTATGCTGTAACATTTTTCCGGTGCCTAGTTGCCATGCCACTCGGAAGCACGAGGGTTGAGATATTGCCAGATTGCCCAAACCCAGACAGGAGCAATCTAGATGCCGGGGTTGAGTTCGAACCACAGACCTTCAGGTCAGTATATATGCGTCTTAACCGATGAGCCGTCTCGGGATCACAGGAGGGTAGCAACACAGGCCACAACCAATGGGTACAAAAACGTCCACTGTTACTAAGCATTTACATCCTAATGTGATGACCAAACCACCTAATTCGGCGTTAGCTCTCCTAGCGCTCGGATTCGACGGGTGGACTGGATATGCCGAGAGGGACCAAATTTCATGATGCCCCAGGGATTAAGATTCACTACCCAGCCATCGCTTACGCATCAGTTCTTTATGCACACACTACCGCCTGCTAACCCTTGCTGCTCTACGGACACACAAAGGCTATAAACTTTGAGGACACCTAAAGTCCTGGTTTTGCAACCACGGTGCAGTCGCCCTTCAAACACATTAGTTCCTGAGGCCACCAATGAAATATTAAGTGAAATAAACATTGATTAACGTTGCTCCTGCGTTGGTAATGTGTTCACAGCACAACAAAGGCTTGCGCAGCTGTGTAGGTAAACAGATCAAGATTTTCATTTCGAAGTTTCAAAGGGGCACAAGGATATGGGTAAACCTGAGTTTAGAAAATGCACCGAAAATGATGTCACCTGTGATATTTTGAATAGTTAGAATAGTTTTCGCAGACAATCGAAAAATCGCAAAACAATGTCGTTCGCATGTACCACGTTTATAATACTTCCCTGGAGGTACTGCAGTTCATTGCCCTTCAGAGCGCGCACTGTGATGCCGATGACAGGAGTGATGAAAAACGGAGGGGACAATATGGATTAGCGCCACTAGATGATAGAGATTTCAGAGTTCAACGGGCATCCTAAGCCTACGAAACGTATTCGAGGGTATGTGTAAACTCTTTACAAACATCAAGGGCCTGTCCTCAGGCGAAGTATTGCAGGGAAACCGATTTGTTTAGAATGTAAGCTTTAAATAAAACATAATAAACACAAAAGCATTCAGTTGTATCACACTTTTGGTGCCTAACTGTCACGCCACACGAAGGAAGCACGAGGGCTGGGATACTGCCAGGTTGCCCAAGCCTAGACAAGGGGAATCGAGAGGCAGAGGTCGGGTTCGAACCACGGACGTTCCGGTCAGTAAATTCGCGCTCTAACCACTGAGCCATCTCACCCCACGCACACTGCCTACCAATAATTGCGGTCTTATAAATAAAATACAAGACGATGTTGGTACCGTCGATAATTTTGTTATCACTCGTTGAAGCTTTTTTTTCAACATTTGACGTTATCGTCATACTGCACACTACAGGTACACAGACAATTACCGCGCATGAGCAACAACAGAACAAGTTTGAAACTGCAGTTTATCCAGTTAAATTTAGTATCCGAAAGACATAAAGGCCAGGACTTTAGTTCCACTGGGCCTCTTTAAGCTACATCTGATCATGGTATCAAAAGCACGCCTAGTGACTTGAAGCAACCTGGTAAAATCGTGCGAATGGAGCATACGCTTCACCCAGTAGTAGCTGTGTGGAACTCAACATATGATCTGAAGTCTGTTTTCTCCGGCCAACTAAATCTTGTGATGTACTCGAGCAGTTGTGACAATGTCTCCATACCAGGTCTTGGGATGGTCAGGTTTCAGTGTTCCAACGACCTTATAAGTTCCACTGATTTGAACTTCGTTTCTCACGGTCTAACTGCATCAGGAAAGCCAAAGGAGTGGACATTCCGTCTCAATTCCCACTGAGTTCACGGTCCGGGTAACCCAGAGGCCTGCCCGTCCAAAATCGTCTAAATCATTTGCTTCGTTTTGAGAGGCGGTTAGGAACAACTGGGTGGGTGGTGCTCATGAAAGACGGCAGCAGTTAAGCAACTGGTGCCAACCTGTTGATGTGGTCCTTTACGGAACCCCAGCTAACACAAACCTATCGTACGGCGACAAATATTAACCGGCCCGGATGTTTCAGGGTAGCCGCCAGTAGCATCGATTACGCGCCATGTCCTGTAGAGTTTTAATAATAATTAATAATAATCATTCAGCTGTAACACCCTTCCAGTGCCTAGCTGCCATGCCACCCGGAGGAAGCACGGGGGCTGGGATACTGCCAGGTGGCCCAGGCCTAGACAGGGAAGTCGAGTGGCAGAGGTCGGGTACGAATCACGAACCTTCCGGTGAGTAAATTCGCACTCTAACTACTTGGGCTATCTCGCCCCCTTTCTAAACAAATGCAAGGAGTCAAGTGGGCGAAATCCTAGGCTGCATGGCTTAACGGTAACTGTTTGTCCGCCCTTTCGCGTCATAGCCTTCCCGCCGCAAACTCTTCACTAACAAGGACCCAAATTTGGGAACAGAACTATTTTGACAAGTGGTCCTGGACCTGCGTAGCACGTGTCCCAATCACATTGACAGGCACGCACTACCAGCTCTGGCGATTCCGACTCACTGATCAAGTATTCGCTTACGGATGGGCTGCAGCCAACTAATGTCGACTGCCCTACGTAGACGTATGGCTACGGCAGTGAAGCATCAGTGTTGAACACTGATGTGCTGTCGATGATGATGAGACGTTTGAGGTTTTGGGATCAAGGGGTGGAGTCTGAGCGAAATAACGATTATTCCTAGGGTCATTTTGTGGAAACGACTTGAAATCTCCAAAGGGATGCTGTATACGAACTGACTTTCTGTCGCAACCAGGCCCTGTGCAGTTGCAAAGACAGGCCGACAAACACGAGTCCCTCGATCCGAATTTTCAATGGATATTGAGGGATTGGAGATCCTGAAGGACTTGACAGTTCGATGGCTATAACGGCATGCCAAAATAGAGGGCTGCCGATACTTCAGCTACAGTAGATTGTGCGAATGCACAGCACCCAAGTAAGTCGGACAATCGAAGCCCATCAGCGAACAGGTTTTCGGATTTTGAAGCGCGTTCCATAAAGACGTGACAAAAGTAAAACTGAAAATCAGAGGAACTCTACTAGTTGCAGGGATGGATAACTTCCTGAAACCCGTAAGACGATAGATCCTGTGGAAATAAGCAGCGTTAGAATCACCCGCAGCTCCGGAATAAAGCCTCCTTCCGACTGGAAGGAGTCATGCCGGCCGTCAACTCTCATTCAAACCCGTACCAGCTATGAAGTAGTATGTTCTGAGTCACCGAAGGTTTTCCTTTATCAACAGCTGATCAGTAATATGTTGCGAAGAGTTCAGATAGTCCCAGCCTCTAGAAATGTCAAAAACTAGTGGGACTTCGGTCCATCAGAAGCACTTTTTTGTAACTAGTCTGGCGTGGGCTCAAGGCAGTGGTGAACGTCCCCTACAAACAATAATTATTATCCAACTGTAACACCCTTGTGCTCGGGAGAGCTGGATGGTCAGGTGGGTACTTCTGACTAGGTTTGTATTTCGAACTGAACTCTGACATTTAGACTGCTATTGTCTAGGCCTGGAAGTATCTCAACCCTCGTGCTTCCTTCGGGTGGCATGGAAGTTAATCACCGAGGGAGTGTTAGAGCCCTGCCGGGATTTGGGTTCGAGCCCATCCAGTCTCGCAGTAGCACTTTACAATTTGCATGTGTGAAGCGCATACCATACGATGGCGTCAGATCCAAGAGCCATGTCGTCTGTGTACTCGGTATCCTTGAGCGGACACCCACAGGCATTAGAGGCTGACAGTGAGTACCCTACAATCGTATCAATGCCGAAGTTGGAAGGAGGGTGACACCACTTGATGTAGTGAACTCAGGCGAGAGCTTCCGTAGACCTTTACAAGTCCATGGGAGTTGGCGTATAACGCCATAAGGGGGCCAAGAATTTATGAGGGCGTTGCGAGGGCCTGAGGGAAAACGAAATATCAGGCGTGAACGCACCATGGCGTCATCAGAATAAAGTTGTGCCCAAGAAGGAACGGCGGTCTTGAATTGTAGCTCTCCACAGTTGGCTGATAACCGCCTCATCACACTGGGTCCATGGTTGATTTGCAGCTGGTTGACACATAGGGTACGCGATCCGAACGCTAATGTTGAAGGTTCGTACTGGCTAGTAATAGATAACAGATAATAATGATCAACACAGCTGGAGTAATCACTCTCCGTTGTCTGTGAGAAAAGCATCGACTCCGAACCGACCGCCCAGATGAGATTTCAAGGAGCTCGGACGACCCACTTGGGCATTTATATCGTCCGCAAGGATCACGTCAGTGCTTCTTACTTAGCGAATAGGCCCGGATAACTCTCGATAGAAAGTATCCATCTCAGCATCAGAACTGCAGTCCGTTGGAACATGAGCATCGCTTTTTATGTCGAGAGGCATTGAGGTTGATTGATCTGGATAACCGGACGACACAAAGCGTGATCCAATCTGGCAAAGCGCGTAAAGCTCTGAGGCTGAGTGCACGCTATATATTGCACGAGTCACCAGACACACGTACGGATAAGTGTGAAAGAGTTGAGTAACCCTTGGCGTTTTGAGATGCATAACCAAGCTCGGGCCTTGTATGTGTTTCGGAGACACTGCACATCAATTTTAAGAAAGTAGAAGATTTCGGCGAGGATTTCCTGTTTAGCAATTCGACATAGAGTGGGGACATCAAAAGATCCTACGTAGAAAGGATCTTGTGGAATTAAAAGGGTGCTACTTTGCTTATTGTTGATGAGCAGCGGGGTGAATAAGGCCCATCGGTCAGCTAACTGACAGTCGGATGACCCAGCAATGCTTGACTACGGTGGGAACGGGTTGGGGAGGGACATTGGTGGACACAGAACTGTGCGGGTAAATTATACTTCACGGTTGCCCAGGCCGAAAATGAGGGTTTGTTTGAGGTACCCCATTTTGAGCATTGACTCAAAAGTCCGACC